TTGTTTTTGAACCCGGTTCGTGAAGAGAGTTTTGAACAAGATGGTTGGAGTATTATAAGTACATAATTCGTAAAAACCGAAAGGCTGCTAGGCAGTTCTAAATGACAAGTTTTTGGATGCTTCCTGTGAGTGATAAAGCAATACAATTTAAACGAGCTGGTTTGGTTTTGGAACTTGTCCAAAAATAGGGTGAGGTTTTGAGTTTTCAACTGTCAGGCTAACAAAGGGTACTTCTACTACTCTTTGGAAAAACTTTAAGGATTTGGGCTCAGAAGAAAGTGGAATAATACACTATAACAATATTTGCACTGAAATGAATTTTCCTGATTACGATTATAAAGCAGCGGAATAAAGACGATTTATTGATTAGTCAAAAGCTAATTTAAAATCTGTAGTTTCACAATGCTAACATATTTCTATTTTTTGTCTTATTCATCTAATAGTAAGGAAGGGATCATATTAAATTGTGTTTGAAAAAACTTCAATACAACAGAAACGCTTGGTTAATGGGTGGTATGAATAAAAGTAAGAAATTACTCTTTGCTCCGAGTTTAGGAGTTCCTTCTCAGTTTCGTATGAATAAAGTGGATGAGCAATTGCTCAGTCTCTGAGCCCTTGCTCCATCTCTGAGCGTACTCTAAACTGGAGAGCAAATGATCAAAATTGGTATGAATAAGCGTTTACTCTCTAGAGTGAGCACTTGCTCCAAAATTTTGGAGGGATATTAGTAGCAGACACTTTTCAAAAGTAAGGTTAAATTGGCCGATTTTTTTACCGTGTGCTGATGTGCTGATGCAGCGGACTAAATAAATTACAAGATAAGGCGAAATTCTCATGATGTAGACTATTAGAATCTTTGCCGATTCGAAAAGGACAATGCTTAATTGGTACGATTTTTACCGGCGTTGGCTTTCAGGCGCGTTTTCATATTGCATATCTTCTATGTTAATTGGGCATCTCTCTTTTCTACTTGGAATTTTCTACATTGCTCTTCTCTTTTCTACATTGCTCTTTATTCCGCACAAATGTGCACGACGCGAGTAACGTATAAAACCTCTTTGTTACTCAAGAAACCAATTTTTAAAACTCTTAGCCTGCACTATCACTTGTTCACAATGTGCAAATGCTCGAGAGACATGAGTGAGTTCTTCGGAGACATACGAAGTTTTTATTCATACGAAATGGAGCTTCTGCTTAGTGCCGCAGAGTAGACTCACTTTGCTCCGGAGCAAGTACTCCTGAGCAAGTACTAATTTTTATTCATTACGCAAGTACGTTAGCCACCATGACATCGACGCGGCTTGTCCCGGATAGCCCAGACAACATAAACTCCGGCCGCGGAAGCCTACGCAACCAAGTACTCATTATGACCCAATATGTTGCGATTTAAAAGTTATTACGTTATTCAATCCAGAAATTAAAAACCGTTTAGTAGCAATGATTACTGAACAAGTGAAGACCCCAACTCCATTCGTTCCTAGCAAAAGAAGGGGTCAAGAAGCTCCGGGCGGAGGAGAGCTCTTGAAGGAATGCTAAAGCGTGACTCACCCCGGAAAGAAGAACATTGTTATTTTACACTGCAATAAGATTCTTCTATCTACACTTCGTGCGAAGTCAGGACTCAAAAATTATTCAACACAGATTTAGGAAGACCACGACTTTCTCATACGCCTATCCACGAAGAACAATTTCCAACGATACAGGTATCAGCACAAGACAAATGGCCGTGACATGTGATACATCTCAAAGTTCAATATGAAGGATACACCACGAGCAGCTCCTGTAACCATATCATCTTCAACGTTTGCAGGGTTTTTCGCCTAACGATCACCTACCAGTGAAGAACTTTTATCGATCGTTTCTAACATAGTCAATCCGTTGTTTGTCAGTATTGTTTACAGTCGATTCGTTTGGAAGATATGTAATTACACATTTCCACAACCAACACGTATGGGCAGATCGTAATCCTCAAGCTGGCTACAAATCAGCAACAGTTCAGGATTAAAGAGTTGACAGAAATTGTAGATGACTATCTGGTAGGTCAATACGTTCTTCCAACACGTCATACGGGTGCTGTCTACAGGGACTTTATTCAGAACACTCTCCTAGACTTTCTACACGAAGATATTCCCCTGCAAATAATACAAATCATGTGGTTTATGCATGGAGTCCAACACATTTTAGCCTCACTGTTTGAGATGCTCTGGCTGGTATGGCCATGACAGATGGAGAGGTAGGGGAGATGCAGTTTCATGGCCTGCGCGTTCTCCCGACCTCAATATTTTGGAGAGATGGTAGAGTGTACGCAAAATTTAAAATTAGCAAAAAGGCCTACTAAAGTTACCTTAAAGTGATCATAAACACAAAATACATTTCGGAGACTTTCTTTTAAATAAAATAACGTGGAAAGTTGAAAATTGTTCAGCTGGTTAATTGAACGTACGCACGGCATATTACACGTCATTTGTTTCTGTATCTTTTCGGAACGTTGTCAGCAAATCACCGTTTGAGGAATTTCTCGAGGAATCAAGCTGTATTGAGACGTAATCGTTGTGAAACATACTGGTAACAGTTGGAATACTCATCTAATCAAAGACCCGCCGGCTGCCCGAGATCATTCACCAACTTTGTCCCGTTCCATATCACTCTATTAACACGCCCAACATCAATGCAGGTGTCGAGAAAGTTAGATTGCTGAGAAGGTACCGTTTCCAAGCACAGGAGAGGGTGATGGAGGGGGAACTTATAAACGGGTGAAGATGTGCCGATAGCAAGAGTTTTCGAACATTTATCGATTTAATGTTCGCTCTACACATACACTGGATACCTAGATACTGCGTGGTCTCAGAGCCGAAACGAGGAATTATAAAGCATTTGCCGTGGTTAGTTCAAAGGTTGAGATATGCAATATTTTTCAAGATACGGTAAAGAAATGTTGAAGCCAATTTTAAGGCGTTAAATATGACGTTTTAAGAATAATTACTTAGACAACTTTTGGTTCAGTGCCAGCCAGAGATGATACACGTTTGGCGTGGTGAGGAATATACCCTCTTATTTATTTTGTAGGGTTATTGAGTTTATTTTTATTTCTTCTGTTCGGGCAAATTTGCTTAAAATTATTGCGAAGGAACCTATCAACGTGCTATTAAGCGTACGTGACGTAGAAGTCGTTCATCGAAGATAACAGGTCTCAACTTCATTCAAAATCGTTCACATTAGTTTGTGATAGTGCAGCGGCATACACAGAGGAGAAAACAGACATTAGTGCCTTCAATAATCTATCAAAGGATTTGAGATCATCTGGCATCAAATTGATCGACCAAAATGACCCGTCAGCATATTTAAAGGCCATCAGACTAACTCCGACCGCTGCCTCCTAAGAGGTGTCGTCTTTGGATTTCTTATCGCCACGCGCCTCGACTTGTCAAAGATAGTAGGTATCTTGTCTGTGGGCTTTCTCACGGAAGTCTCACGTCTTTCTGACATCTTGGGCGGTTCTTCATTCAAGTACGTAGAGAGATCAATGTGATTAGAGTGCACTCCTCGGAGAGAAATGTATTCCGTGGATGTAGTGATTGAGGTACTTTTGATCAGGGTATTAACCTCATCTTATCATAATAAGGAGATTACTTTATTCTTTGTTAAATACTATTTATTGTCAGAGGACATGCAAAAGAGAAGTTGGTATTTGAGAATTCAAGTTTGAATTAAAATTTCCATTTTTGGATTTCGTTTTCACTTAATTATATGGCTATTTTCCATCAATAATAATAATAAAAATATTAATAATAATAATAATGAAATATATCGTATAAAAGTGAACTTGTTTAGAGTGACGAATGTCACAAAAATAGTACCATTGGGGTGATTGTTCCCTAGTTTGGTACGAATGCTTCTGACTGATTAAGAATCAAACATAGCATGGGTGTGATTAATAAATATTACCCCAAAATTTTATTATTTTACAAAAAAACACACTCACAAACGAAATTACCTTGTGTCCATTGAAAATATTTATGCAAAGTCAAGTCATTTCAAATAAACGAAATTTTAATAATTGTGGCATTTGAGTTAAACCCATTTAAACAGAATATGTTTATTCAGATATATTAATATTCAAAAAGAAGGTCAGTAAGGAATTCATGTTTTAATATTTAAGGAATGTAATTAATTTCCGCTTTTAGTAATCGTTGTACGTAATTTATTCCATAGTCTGAAGATGCCAATCTATGAAAGTTGTCGAAACGTGGTGTTAGTGTGAAGGATGTAATAAAACAAAATGTGAAAATTTAATTGTGTTTTGTAAATAAGCCAATTGAAAAGGGTTCATTATAGTTAGTAAAATATAATAAGTTTTCCAAGTACAATAAGAAATATTTCGTTGTTATGTTCGCGTGTACTAGAAGCAGATTTTATGCACGGAGGAGAACTGGATTCACCGAATATAATTTCGGAAAAAAATATTTTACTAATAAATAATAGCTAATATTACATTGGCAACATTGTTGAAAATCTGTGTATATTTTCAGTAGATTGCAGGAACCCTGTGTTACCGGGAGCCAGGTTCCCAAATAAATATAGTATTATTGGTTTTCCTGTTAGGGGAGATTTAGCGGATCCACATTAAAAATATAAATTTCTACTGAAAGGAACATAAACTTGATATTTTCGTGATTTCGTCGAGTAAATTAGCCTTGGCGGTCAGCATGTCAAATTGTTGTTTGTTTATTTCACTTCGAGTTTACAAACACGAATAGATCTGTCTCGCCCAAGTGTGGGGTTAAATAAGTAAAAGTAATAAATATTAATTAATATTAATTCTCAGGTTTATGATCAATTATGGACCACCTAATGACGAACGATACGCGCAAATGAACAAAATGATGTCCTATGAATCCCTCAGGTCCGTTCTCCATAATTTTTCAAGAGAAGAAAAAAAGTGAATTATTTTACACCCGATTCTGCAGCAAACGAAAACTATAGGCAGATGTTACACCCACAGTTCACAGTGGCCATGAGGCATTTTTAAATCAATCAATGCTTCTATGTATATAATACATCATGTGTTCAACATATCTAAAAATCTATTTAAAAAAAAATTGACACGACAGGTTTCAGCACCATGCAATTCTTAAAAATCGATTGTGCGTAACCTTAACAAAAAAAAATTCCAAAAGAGATGGGAATATTCTTTATCGAGTACGGTAATGTGTTGAGACTACCTCGCCGGTGCGACACCGCTCTTATCGCTCGTCTCTGAGCATTGGTCTTAGGAAGCTTTGAGCTGTCGCTCCGGCGGAACTCCGCTTTCGCGCCTGCGCAGAAGGCAGAGGTTCATTGCTATCGCGACGTTCGCGACCGGTGGTACAGTTGGAAGCGAAATAATAGACAAACATTTTCGGCGACAAATATGATCGTAATTTCCAAACTCTTTAAAGTTTTCAAACGCAGTAATGCGAAATGATAGACGGATGTCTGCTTCTTGCGAGTTGTGTTTACGCGAGTTTGCGAGGAACACTTATGTATGAACATGTAACTCCTAATCCAACATGTCGAATTTTGACCTCGATGTTTGCAGCCATCACAACTCGACGAAGAGGTCAAGTTGCCTTGTCGTATATTGTATGTGGTACATCTCTTTGTAACTGAATGTGGTATCAGCGATTTCGTCGTTTCTATTCATGTTAGTATAGTAGGTTCACCCTTGGGCACAGCCTATACGTAACAAGCGAGAGGCGCGCGCAGCTTGTCCTTAGGTGCGGGTGCGGACCCATTCCCGCTGGCGTTCCATGCGCGCCTAGTGCGCCTGCAGCCGCGATGTGAGCGGAGGCAGCCACGTCACGTGGTCAGGTTTAAATAAATAAATAAATAAATAAATAAATATCATGTTCAAATACTTGGACATTTCACGCACATTCTAAGTGAGCGTAATTTCTGTCTACACGAGGAAACAGAAATTTGCATAGAAATTCGATCTCTAATTACGGCATAGTCACTAGTTGCTCGAACACCTCTTTGAATCTTAGCACAGCACCCGACAAGTGCATAAACATTTCATCGGATCTTAAGCCAGTGTCTGGCGACTGAATAAACATCTCGTTGACTGATAACATGCTAGGTCCTATCGTATATTGCACAACACGCCTCATGTAGCTTAGCGTTTTGTTAGCGCTTGCCGAAACGTCTCTTTATGTTAACATAGCAGGTCATATCGGCGACGCCCAAAATCCCTTGAGCCATCTAGCAGCGGGTATTGGCGCGCCCAGCATGACCTCAGGGGCCGGCGGGGCGCGGCGGCGGGGGTGGACCCGTTCCCGCTGGCCTTTCCACGCACGCCTGCTTCGCCTGCTGGGGGCGGACTGGCGCCGGGGGCGGGGGCGTGGTCGCGCGCGCGCTGGCCGCGTGCGGCGGCGGCGACGGCGGGCGGCTGCAGGCCGTGAGACGGGCTGGGCATCGGGCTGCTGGCGTGAGTTCGGGCGCGCGCTTCGCCGCGCTGGCGCTGGGGCGCGCCGCCTGGCCGCCTGCGGCTCGACGCTCGCCGCGCCCCCGCGCGCCGCGCCCGACGCGGCCGACTCGAGCCCGCCCGCCACGGTCAACGCCGCTGCAGCCGTGTGAGTACGGCAATGTAATTCGTTTTAGCTTACGCGTTTTTGCGTTCCCCCTAACGTACGTAGAAGAGTAATATTGTGATCGAGCGCCTGAACTGAAAAATAGCGATTTTTTTATTACGGGCAGTTTTCTGTTTACTTTCTACACTTACGTACATGAGAAGATACACGGCCATTTTTTTGTCGAGACCTGATAACGAAAAAGTGGATAAATCTTGTTTCATCTTCCAATTTTATAACTGGTGCGAAAACCATTCCAAAATATTGTTTTCTATTGATTGATGTATTTTGGAGTTTCCGGACACGTCACGGGATGTCGGTCGTAATGTAGTCCCGTAAGTGTAGTGCACGTTGATGTTATCGGGAGATGCTTATGTTCATCCTCTCTGGATGGTCACATCTGGCGCCTATTGATTACTAGTGATTACAGACGCGTCTACTGTTAAGGCCGTTAGTCCCATAATTGAATGTTCTTTCCTCGGGAGACGGCGGTGATCTCTCGCTGTATGGTGAGACCCGACGCCGATACCCGAGTCGGGTGGTGATGATTTTCCCAACCAGATGTCTCCCACAATTGGGTCATTGTCCCAACCCGACCGGTACGTGTGCTCGACCGATGTATGTGTGGTAGTGTAGTGCATGTTATTGTAAGTGTGTGATAGGGGTGGGGGTAGGCTATGGAAGAGTAAGGAAAGATTGGGCGCCATTCCGTGGCCCATCACCGCCCCATCCGGGACTAGCTCTAAACTCCCGATTAGTCTCCCGGCATGAGTAGTAGTGTAGCGCATGTTAGTGTATGTGTGTGTAGGTAAGGGGTGAGGAAAGGGCAAGGAAAAGGAAGGAAATATCGCGCGCGTTCTGTGACCCGTTTGTTAGGTTACTGCTCCAGCATTCCCCTGATGTTGATCGAAAAAAAAAACACGGAAAACTACCGACCTGAGCAGCCTGCCGCTTGAATACTCCTCCAGACAGGGACTGAACTGGACCTAGCTCTGTAGCGAGTGCTGAAAATCTTACCACCAATCCATGCGAGTTTTGGTTTTGATACAACAGAACGACATACTGTTGCCCCCATGTTATCACCGGCTGCGATAGTATGTGCCTCTGCAGCATCGTTCCTCTGCAGCATCGTTCACTGGGCGGTCCTAGTATTTGAATCACGACGGTGGTGAATTTAATATTGGGTCGAATTCTGTCACTAAGGAGAGTTGTAAGGGTCGGCTTCTGTTTTTTGCTGCGATCAATACCAGGCGAATGCTGGGACCATACCCTAACAAACGGACCGAGGAGATGTTTCCTATCCTCATCCCCAATTTATACCCTTACGTACAGTTCACGAGATCAGTCAGGAGATGAGAGCTTATCCCATCTGGGACTTGCTGAGAAAAAAACCTGCAAAGGTAATACTATCAGCACAGGTGGTGTTCTCTTATAATGGATCATGCTACATACATAATATTATCCTCTGTCTACTCTATTCTTTCCAAAAAAAGCCTGCCTGTGTTACCTGTCTACAGTGATTTGAATTTTTTGGAAATTCACTAGAGCAATAGGCAAGAGGCGAGGTTCTCGATACAGCGTTCTTGAAATGGCGTTAATCGACACTGGAGACAGCTGAATTCAAGTGAAATCAATTCTATTAAATAAAATTTGGTTTCATTACATTCAATTTAAATTGAATATTTTTGTTTTCTGCTGTAATGTTTTGACCGAAAAATGTGCCCGACTACATCATTGGTTACAATAATTCAGTCAACAGAAAATATAGCGGATTCCCAGTAAGGACTTCCCCTTTATAGCGGCCAACATTACTGCTGTCCAGATTGACACCCAGGACAATGGTTCTTAAGAAAACAGTAGAGTGACTCACAAATACAATGATACATCGGTAACTTGGAAGTGATGACAGTGTTGAACTTCCGCGTTTGTAGCGTGACCTACTTCGTTTGCTAAAATTGTTTCTTTCTGAAGAACTGTCAAATTATAGACATATTGATTAGATGTCATAGATAATGAACTTCGCTTCTAATCAACAGTGTCGATACTCGTTTTCCATGTACTTGCAGATGTTTGTCGTCATTTCCGGAAATATTGCATTCAGACGCACTTTCATCCATTCGTTTCCTATCCTTTCGTTATCACAGCAGAACACTTGAATCGAGTGTAGCAACTGATTATGCTCTACAATGCAGGTGATATATTGCAGAAGCGGTTTGAAGTGCTAACACGAACTTTCTGCGGAATCCAATGTTTTCTTTGAGGATGTATTTAAGAATTGTAGAACGATTAATAATGTTCTAAGTCATATTCAACACCCTGCTTTTATTTCGTCTACTGAATGTTAAAAAACTGGAACAATTCCAAACCTTTTGTGAATTTACAAAATATTTTGAAATGTCTACTTTCAAAAAGGGTGCAAGTGACTTTAATGGAACTCATTCGTAAGTATTTGTTTCAAATATTTATTTCATTTTCTTATAAAAATACTAGGGTTAATCCGCCACAAATTATTGTAGGAAGACCCTGAAAAGACCACCAGACGAAATTTCGGTATATTTGCGATTGATGTAACTAATTTCCACGACCTATGAAAGAATCGGATTTAATTCCTATGTTATTTGTTATATTTCTTTATATATTATATTCTTAGGCACAATGTGTTACTACAATACAACAGATAGTGCATCAAAGATTATTAAGTCCACAGTGTTCCAGAAATGGCAAGTACGTGGCCCCCGCCCACCTGTATGGGTGTCTTTCTAATACTCTACCACGCGAGTAAGGACTACGGTCTTATTTATAGCGGCCAGTGATTGCTATGCGATTGAAAAAGCTTTATAGAAACATTTACTACGAGGGTTGTCCTCGGTCGGTCGTATTTTTACTATATTTTTATTCTTTCTTCTTCATTGTTTTTACTGCACTGTGATCTTTGCCATTAATCAATTTTGAATGGAGCAAAGCTTTCTGGAAGCCTTAGTAGCTAATACGCGTTCAGATATCGCGCATTTCACCCAAATTGATGCACGAGTCTCGAAGCAATCGACTCGCTTGGCGGGAACAAGGCGAACTACAATGCGAAACCCAAGAGGAATGGCATATATAAACTGACTCTTTTAAGACGCAGTTGATGCTTCACTACCCTTGTTCATAGTTATGCCGAGGATTTGGACTTCAGATTATGCAATTAACACAAAACATATTTTAGTATATTTGCAACATTTGAGTGAAAATTTCCAAATCATAGACATAAATGCCTAAATAAAATAATTTTTGCCGTTAGGAAGAATGCAATTTGTCAGTAAAAATAAAATCAGAGCATAGGCTTCCGCGGCCGGAGTCAGTATTTTCTAGGCTGTCCGGGTGACGCCGCGTCCATGGCGAAAGTGCCGACGTATCAGTCGCCATTCTGCGA